TTTTACCACACCAATAGTAATTAATATGTACGTGTAGCACTCATCCGTGAATAGTCAGTCGTTAGGTGTTTGTGCCATTTTGTACGTTAATACTAGTACTGAAGTCATCGCTACTGTAGTGGTTAGCTATCGCTAACCACTGAGATGCAGTTAACCCCGGAGATTTAGCATCGTATACACTCACCGGGGGTAGGACGGAGTCCGAGGTTACAGACTACTGGCGAAAGGTGTATCCGAATGTAAGAATCCCCTCATTGACATTGCCTAATTACTACAGTACTAGTATTAACGTACAAAATGGCACATTGAACCCCCAGTACTAGTATTAACGTACAAAATGGCACATTTAACCCCTAGTAGTATTAATGCATTTAGCCCCTAGTACAGTGCGCGCCAACCAAGTAGGGACACCTCTAATTTTCGACATGTGCCGATGTGTATTTGTTCTCTGCTTGTGCAATTCAGAATTAACGTGCATGAATATGAAACAATACGTTTCATTGCGGCTCATATCCTCAAACCTTATTGCTTGTTCTTGTATATCCGAAAATTTGATTATGACCCGCGTCAAGCAATTAAGGGACACGTCAAGAAAGTGGCAGTGTTGTACAACAACTCAAAATGATTTATCATAAAATCACTACTTAGTAGTCGGTCTTCGCTCCTTGAGCCAGAAATAACCTCGACACAGCGATTTGGCATCGACTTGACAAGTGTCAACAGGTAGGGGCGACCAAGATTCGACCACGCCTTTTTGATGGCCAGATAACTCGGTTTTCGTTGTAAATTGCCGGTCATTTGCGTAGACTGCACGTGCAAGAACACCCAAACATTTTCTATAGGATTAAGGTCCGGTGACAAGTCTGGATGGTCGAAAAGCTGAACATTATTTTGGCCAAAAACTCCATGGTTCGATGTGCACAGTGTATCGAGTCCCCATCTTGCATAAACATGAATTGTCCACCGTAAAATTCATGGCCGAAGGGAAACAAGTAGTTCGCCAAAGTGTCGACGTACTTGTGGGCCATCTGGGAGCCCTCCAGGAACGCAAGCTCGGACACACCGGAGCTGGAAAAAGCACCCCACACTATAACACCGTCTTCGCCTTTTTCACGAGTTAAATATGACTTAGGCTCCATCCGAAGGTCATGCCAATAGTACTCAAAACCATCTGGGCCGTCGAGAGTATAATTCTTCTCGTCGGACCAAATTATTTCAGTCCAATTGGGTGCTCTCGGAGATTCCTTTGAGCATACTTGACTCATGCTTGCGTATGGGCCTTGCCTAGCTTCGGAGTGTGCTTCCACTTTTCGTAGGTTAGCGTAGGTGATTACTTGAGTCTTCGTTGTATTGCTCGCAGAGACGCATCAAGGTTGAGGTCGGTTTTGAGCCTTCGGGAAGACTGTCCAGTGTTGGAGGCCTCTCGGACGAACAGACGATACTCTGTGTCAACGACAGAATCTACGCCATGCCCCCAAAACGTGTTCCATAACCTTGAGGTCGTTAAGGTAGCCGGCGATGACGTTTTTGTTGCGTCCGAGCTCTTGAGCGATGGAACCGGTCGACAGACCACATCGACGAAAACTGTTGACGCATACACGCTCTTCTGACGACATCATTGCACCATGCCCCATTCTAAGCATTCAAACTGTGAGACCATGCAATAAATATAGAGGCTACGTAAGTCTCACCTGCAGGGAGTGCACGTGGTGTTGATAACGTAGCGAAATCACGAGTATCCCTTACTTCACTGTCGCATGCTAAAACTTGATTTTGGCGCCCAGATTTGAACATGGTGAGGTAGGTAGGCCCAGGTTAGGAGAAATACTCCACCAATGAAGCTCTATCGCTTGAATCTGGCTTGTTTTGATTGATTTAATTGGTAGAATTTTCTTCTAAAAATGCATGCTGTCCCTAATTGGTTGGCGCGCACTGAAATAGGTGAGATGTGATCATACAAAAACCTCATTGAAACAATGTTTCGGGTCAAAACAACAGTGGAACTGTTTTAATGAGGGAAAAAATGGACTATTAATATATTAATATATCGCCTCACAATTCGCCCTCGTTCCCGAGATATGACATGCGAAACGCGCGACGCACATTTTCTGTGACTCACTGGACAATCAATACTGTATAGCTATTATAGCTGACACAAAAGGCCGATTCCCTTTATATATCCTCCTCGTAATGCCTTATAAGCTTACAGGCGTCGTTGGCTTGTCTGTAGGCGAGACGATCACCTTGATGTTCATGGATAGCCTAAGCCGCGCCATGCATAGTATCGAATTAGATTAAAGGATAATCGTCCGGACAACCCAGTTCTCTGCACAGATAAGACACAGGACTAATTCATTCTACACATACAGAAGTCCCGTAGCTCTGTAACCTGGGACTCCGTCCTAACCCCGGTCGGCACATGTACGTACATTTAACGCTATTTCCGGGGTTAAGTTGCCGAAATGTGCTTATAAGCGCTGGAGTGATAGAAATTCCACATAGTACTACCGGTTAGAGCATCCCCACCGGCTGATGTAGAAATGTAAAAATCTTCAAAGTAAGTCACTACATCAGCAAAATTTACATTTTTCAGACCCACACCGGTTGCCAATAAATTTTACAGCATGATGTAAACGCTCCATAAACACAGATTTGTCAACAGATCTGTTGGCTTGTTTACAGTTCTACGCGATTGAGGTCCCAATGGACTTCTTCAACGAAGCATGCCATCCCGACGTCCTGAAGCACGCCGGCAGCATGAATATGAATCTTACAGACAATAGAATATATGCCAACCCTGCTGCACTAAATTCTCCACTGGCGAGAGCTCCAAAATCTCAATCGCCTGCGGGCGTCCAACACGAATTTGCTCCATCAGGACTACTATTTCCGCCAACCGATGTGGATTGGCTGTGAAGTGATGTACTACTGTTACAGCACGCACCCAATAAACGGGTCTTTTCATCTCTATGTGATTCCTCTCTTTGTGAACTTTGTGCCCTTTCTCAAAATCGACAATAGTGAAGACAGCTGATTTCGGCGAAGTTGGTGGCATTTCTGTTTTATATTATCCTCTACCGTTTCCGTCTAGAATCCACAACCATTAATTACTAACAATGGTACTACTTTAAATAACGATACCAGACGTCCCTTTGGTGTTTTCAGCCGAGGGGCCTTCAGGTATTTTATTTATTGGTTTTTTCTACACTTCTCCATTTTTCTGCTCCAGCACTCTCCAAGAAATCTCCTAACGTTATCGGCGGAACCAGCCGCTAGGATGGTTAATTGAGTTTGGATTATCATTTTTAAGACATTCCTCCGCGAGGGCCGGCACTAGAACCACATGTTGTGGACCGCTTCGCCAATTATAACGCGCCTGCTCGACCAGGGGCGGTGTGTAATCTTCGGTTTTTACTTCGCTCAATGCTTCATACCTCGTGCTTCGACCGATCTTCTTCGAAGTTCGGTCCTCGTCTTCGTACGCGCCCTTGTTATCCGGATTCCCCAGGAGGGACGGATAAATCCTTGCGGAAATAATCCGGGGAAGCCAGGGATCGAACCCACGACCTTTGAGTTAAGAAACCGATCCTCTACCTATAACTGAGCTATTTTCGTGTGAAACTTGGTTGCAGCAATTAGACCAGTCGTTCGTATCAATATGTTGATTCGGTACGAATTTCCGGACCCCACCCACTCGAAATCTCGCAATACTATTAACAGTACGTACGAGTAATTCGAACTAAACCAGATCTACCCATTACGGTCAGTAAAAAATGTACATACCATCCGACTCGATTCCAAATCCATCAAGTTGATCAAACGGGGTCCACCAAACCACCATCAACATTGTCAATCTTACTCACTCGACATGAAGTCAAGCGCGTTCTTAACTCCGGTGGCCTTGATCATGGCCATGATGGTCCAAGATGCTTCTGCCCACGGCCGTCTGCTCGTGCCTCCGCACCGCGGCTACATAGGCAAACTTCCGCAATTCAATGGCCTTGTTCCCATCAACTTCGGCGACCACGGCCTCAGCGCTGGTGGCATTGGCCAAACCAGAGGCGGCAAACACGGGATCTGCGGCGACAGGTACTCTGGAAAGCGCTTGCACGAGACTGGTGGTGAATTCGCCAAGTTCCCCCAACTTCGCGAAAAGGTCATCGGGGCCTGCTACGCCCCCGGGTCCACAATGGACCTTCAAGTCCAACTCACGGCCAACCACATGGGGTACTTTGAGTTTGGGCTATGCAAACTGAACTCGCTCAACGACAAGGAAACGGAAGATTGCTTCAAAACGCTTGTCCAGCCCAACGGCGAAAAGGACTGGAAATTGCCAGCGGGGAACAAGGTCTTCAACATGCAGTACATGCTCCCCGATGGCGTGTCGTGCGACGGCGACTCCCACTGTGTGCTTCGGTGGCACTACGTCGGATGGAACAACCCGGATGTGGGTATCGACGGCCAAGAGCAG